ACTGGGGTGAAGAGGAGGATGATTGCTTTCTGAGCTTCAGTCCTGCCCTGATTTGTATCACATTCACCATGGAGGGTGATGATTTATATATAGTTTGAGTGTGTCTCCAAAGAGCTCACTTGCTAGACGCTTGGCTCCAGTGTGGTCATGGTAGAGGCCGAGACATTTAAGAGGTGGGGCCTAGTGCAAGATGATTAGGTCACTGGAGGTCCTGGTCTCTGATGGGATTAATGCTGATTTCAAGGAGTGAGTTAGTTCTGGAGAGAAAAAGTTGTTATAAAAGAGCATGTCTGGCCCCCAAATCCTTTTCAGCTTCCTATCTCACCATGTGGTCTGTCCTTTTGCATTTTCCTTTTCTACTTCTCCATCTTGTTTTACCATATTTGACGGGACATACACTAGAAGCTGAACACACAAGGTCATGTGATATTGGACTTTCATTTTGACCCTCTACAATTATAAGCTAAAGCAACCATTTTTCTTTATAAAGTTCTAAACAGTTCTATAATTGGATATATTTGGTAATATAGCTTTAGAATGTATATACAGCAGAAGTAGACTAAAGCTTCAGGTATTTTGCTATGGCAATAGACATCAGATTATTACAGAGGATATCTATAAAAGATTGTTCCCGGACAGACTCCCTTCCACTTCCTTTCCAAAAAACAAAAAACAAACAAACAAAAAAAAAAGTACATCCTGATTGTTTTCTTTTGTCTGTTCCTTAGACCCATCCCCTCCCTCATGTTTAAAAGAGGATCAGATGAGGTTGATCACCCACAGACTCCTTGGAGGACATGAAACAAGGCCTAAAAGAATTTTCATGTTTTATTCTCCTGCCACAGTGATTGGGTCAGGCTGGACATATGATCCATGTCAGGCCAGTGAGGGTCTTTCCAAGGATTTTTATTGAATCTACCGAGAAAAAGTCTTTTTCTTTCTTCCAGGATTGTGAATCTGCTATAATTTAAACCTGGACCAGAGCATTTCCCTGCAACATCAGGGCAAGGCTGTATAACAGCAAAATCTATAAAGTCTCTGAAAGAGAGGAAGAAATGCTTAATAAAATCATTGCTTCTGGATTCAGCCATTTCTGGAGTTCTAGATCCATCCTCAGATGTTCCAGAGCCAGACGCTTCTGCTGCCAGGTATGGAGTGGGAATGGGGGTGGGGTGATTGCAGATATGCTTTCCCTCTGAGAACAACTGGAAAAGCTGAACAAAACCCTTTCTTCCAACTTGTTTAAGAGCCCTGGAAATTTGCTTACCCAGCCAGAACTAGAGGGGACACGATTCAGAGAGCAGGGTGAGCTTGCATTCTGAAGGCAATTTTTCCTTGGGAGCATTTGCTGATTCAGAGTGCAGGGAAAGAGGATGAAAATCCAGACTTTTCCTGGGCAGAGCTCACTATTGAGAGACAGAGAAACCAATAGGGCTGCCAAATTCTTGAGCTAAACAGAAAGCCTTTTAAAAGCAGAGTGGTGGTTTCAGTAATCTCACAGTGCTGGGGAAACAAGGATTGGAATTTCAGGCCTCGTCAGGGGAGGAGGTTCCAATGGACACATCAGTACTGGAGAACTAGAAGTAAAGCAGAGTTAGAGCCTTACTAAAGCTGCAGTCAAGGCTCAGTGCATTTCAGTTTGCTGAGATGGAGGTGATCAGCCCCTACACTATCTGCGTGATATAAAAAAAGGTGAAGGAGTTTTCTCTGGAGGAAGATAACATCATCTGGAGATTACAACTTTTGTACAATGTCTGATATTTAATCAAAAATTACTAGGCATGCCAAGAAATAAGACTATATGACTAAAAACAGTGAAATAATAAACACAAGGCTTGAGGTTTTCTAAGGTTGTTTCTATAACTCTTGATAGAAAAATGCCTAATAAACACAGGTTTTCCTGTCCACTCCCACCATAATGGTACCTATGGCAGAATTGTACCATGGTTTTCCCTCATATTTTCTTCAGGTTTGAGCCAGAATATTTTGAATTACAGTGTCCTAATTTTTACTAAGATATAATGAGCTTCCATAACAAAAGCCATATATTTGCATCTCTGTTTTCTTTATCCACTTGGACTTCGTCACAAAATGCTTTAGACCGGGTGGCCTATAAACAAGAGAAATCTATTTCTCATGGTTCTAGAGGCCAAGAAACCTAAGGTCAGGGAGTCAGCAGATTCTGTCTGGTGACGGCCTGCTCTTGGCTTCACAAATGCGGCCTGCTTGCTGCACTCTCACATATAATCCTCCTTAAGCCTCTTTCAAAGGGCACTAATCCTACTCCCAAGGGCTCTGTCCTTGTGACCTGATCATTTCCCAAAGTCTACACCTCTTAATACCTATATGCTGAAGATTACATTTCAACATAAGAATTTTGGAGGGACACAAATATGCAGAACACTGCACGTGTCTTTTAGCAGCCATAGCAGTAATAGCCAGTAATTCACAGGGAACTTTGTAGTTTATGAACTGTTCTGCATACATTACCAGTAGTCAAAGTCACCTGGAATATTTAAGAAACTAATAGTATCTCCATTCACAGATGATGTGGTTATGTGTTGGCTATAGACAAAACTGAAGATGAGAGGACACGCCCATGTAAGTGACTTGCCCAAGGTGACACAAAAGTGACAGAATGGGGTCTTGAACCCACACTTGTTGATTCAACCCCCCAAAAAGTCCAGTAGTCCTGGGTTCTAATCGTAGCTGTAACAATTATTAGCTCTGTAACCTTGAGATGATCACTTTCCTGTCTTGTACCTCAGTGTATTCATCTGCTTTCATATGCTATGCTTATTGCCCTTGGCCTTTCTTCACTTTCTTCAAAATGTTCCTACTCTAAATATTTCCAATTTTTAAAGCAATAGTATCTTAATATAAGGTGTCTGGTTTCCTGTTTATGTGAATGCATCTAAACCCGGAAATTATAAGTAAATTTCACGCGAATGTATGAATGTGCACCTTGTGAGCACACATCAGACTTACAGAAGGTTCTATGACCCACAAACACTTAAGAACGCTGCCTTAGAGCCATGCTGGCTGAGCCACATTTCAATATGTTTGCCCTTTGGTAGGATTTGCATTTGAGTATGAACTCTCAGTGCCTATCCCAAGGCCGCGATCAATGTCAGAAATTTCAGGTACCAGGGCAGAGTCAATTCCATGGACAGCTTCAAGCATGATAAAGCCGATAGCCTTACAACTGATATTAACTAGTAATACATCCCCGCAAGGTGTGGTCCTAAGAAGTTGGAAGTATGGTTTGGTTTCAACAGTCAGTGCCTGGTCCTTTCTTTTTCTCTCTTCCAAGGCAGAGTTAGAACATAAAATTGAGACTTTCGGATTGGTGGCCACGTAGGTCCTTTATTCTCCCATCGGGCAGAGTCAGTACAATGAGGAAGGAGGCAGAGTCCTCAGCACATGTCTCTCTTTTGCCCCCACTCCCTGCCTATCTTCTAAAGCCAGCACTCAATAGGCAGCCCCAGGGAGCAGCCTTCTGGAGATACCATTTTCAGGCACAGAGGGACAGAAAAGGGAGCCAAGAGCCACAGTGTGGCATTAACAAATCACATTTGCTTAATAGCATACCATCCCCTCAGTCACATGCATGTTTGTGGGCATGCTGGAGATTGCTAATCAAGTGCAGCTGCCCTCAAGCTGCTGGCCAGGACACACGTGTGCGCTCGCGCATACACACACTCACACACAGATGCGCGCACACACACACACACACACACACACACACACACACTTAGAGCATGTCTGCTGCCAACTTCTTGCCTGGCAAACCAGGAACATTTTAGTGGTTTATAAATACGGTCCCAATTCATCTTGGGACACTTCTCAGGTTCAAGCCCATCTGTGTCAGGTGCTCCCAAGGCTGGGAGTCTTTTTCCATCCACACCTACACTCCACCCTGACCAGACTTTCACATCCCCGGATAGACAGCAGAGTCCTCAGCCCAAAACATCTGAGCTGGACAATTTCACAGGCTGCGTCAGTCATGTCTTGATTTGTTCTTTTTTCTCTCATGTTATTGAAATGTTATTTTTTCCACTCATACACCACCACCTCTCACCCCTCCCATATCGGCCTGTTGGAGAAGATGTTTATTTTGCTTTTCCTGAGCATAATTTAGTATCAGACAAGTGCATCCTTGATACTGACAGTATATTCTTGGGGCATATATTTGAGATTCTGGTTGATTAGAATTACAGATTTGTCATGCAATCCTGGCCAATTTGGAATCTGGCACCCTGACATCATGTTTATGTCCTTTTGGCCTTGCCAGTGGTTGCTAAGATTGTGGGGGGAGGGGGCGTTCAGCAATAAGTTAGGATTTCATAAATAGTTGGCAGTGCCTTCAAAGATGCCTGTTCTTTAACATGAGATAATGTATGTTTTCTTTCTACTTACTTGGAGTAGGTCATATTGGGAGCCTCCCAAGCTCACTTTTAAATCATTTCTCCGCATGCCAGATGCCGCTTTTGAAGTTGTCTGCACCAACCCACAAGGAAGACAGCGCCCTGGCCTCTACCCGTGGTCCCACTGTGTGCCCCACCGCCCATAACAGGAAGCATGTCAGGACCGGGTGGGCACAGGGTGGGTGGAGCAGATCCGTGGAGCTCAGTTCCACCAAGTGGAAAATCATCTGACGCGTCCTCGGTGGACTCGTCTGGAGCAGGAGCAGGTCAGATGTCACCCTGGCCTCCAAGTCTCAACACGCCTTTCTGGTCAGCCCTGCTGGCCTTCAGACGCCGTCTATGGTGTAACAGCAGGCTTTTCAAAGTGCAGGCCACAGGAAATCACATTTGAAGTGCCTGGCATGGAGGGTATTTTTATACCGTTCACTTTTTCCCTTTTCTTTTCATCTGTTTTCTGCATTTTTTCAGTTTGCTTTTTCTTCTTGATTTATTGTTGTATTATTCTATTTTTAAACCAAGACATACTTTCCCATCAGACTCTTTAATATAACTCATATGAAAGTTAGGGATGGGTGGACCTCAGACGGGGCAGGGACTGGATTCAGTAGGAATCAGCTTCCCAAAGCACAGATGCTTATCTGAATCTGCATCAGCTGCTGCAGTCGAGGAGCACAGGGCAAGGAGGGAAACCACTCACCCCTTTTCTCCCTCACTAACCAACACGGGGCTGGAGAGTATGAGCCCCTGGCCCTGCCACCTGAGCATGGAACAGATGGCTTCTTTGCCCCTCTAGTGGCTAGGAAGTCCCTGTTGGCTTGGAAATGCAGGAACACCAGTAAAGACTGTGCAACACCCAAGGCGGGAAGGAGGAGAACCAGTACATCCCAGCCCATCTTGCCCACTTGATTGCTGATCCCACTTGACCAGATCCTAAGCAGGACAGAGCGTTGGGTTACGGTCACATGCAACTCTCCTTGCATCTCTTTTATATCTTAAGGGGACCAGTGCAGCTCTGAAACCAGACAGGCCCGGGCTAAAATCCTGGGTGAGCATGCTGTCCTTCCTGCAGACAAACACAGGAGACATCTTAAATTGTTTTCCCTGCTTATTGATAGTTTTGCTTTCTGAAATTTCAATTACCCCATAAGCCATGCTCCAAAACAGTAAGTGGAAAATTGCAGAAATAAACAATGCACAAGTTTTTCTTTGTTATACCTTTCTGAGTTTCGGAACATCTCACACCTTCTTGCCTGGGGCATGAATCACGTCTCTGTTCAACATACCCATCAAATATGCTTATTATATTTTTAAAAACTAATTACTTTTAATGCAGAGCATGAATCAAATCTATTTACCTGGTCTTGAAACAGGGTAAGTGAAAGTAAAGTATTAAGCATTTATGATATCTTTCATATAGATACTTACAAATGAGTAAGTATCTTACTTGATTTACAATCAAGCAGTAAATCAGGGAAAATATTCCCTTAAAATTATTCCAGGTCATATACAAAGGCAGTAAGTATCTTATCTATAAGTAAGTATCTTACTTGATTTACAATCAAACAGTAAATCAGGGAAAATATTCCCTTAAAATTATTCCAGACCATATACAAAGACAGTCTGGTATCACCATTTGCACAACCCCCAACAAATTAATAGATGTACCACTGAGCAGCAGTGGCAGCCAATGTCACACAAGAAAAGCAAAAACCTCAGGAGATGTAGCTCAGTGGCACAGTGCCGGCCTGGCAAGTGCAAGGTCCTGAGTTGGATTCCTAGTACCAAAAAAAAAAAAAAAAGAAGCAAAAACTGATATTATGTTTCTTGGTGAAAGCACATACCACCCACCCATACATGGTCCTGGCAAAAGGATTAAACCTGAATCTGATTAAGCCTCTGCCAACTGACAATTTGTGGGAAATATAAGGAACAGAGGAACATGTTACTACCAAAACAATGCAAAAACCAAACTTGTTGTGTGGGAGAATATATAGGTCAACTGATTCAGGTTCATAAATTATAGGAAAGACCTAAAAATTAAAAGAGATAGCAAGTTTTTAATTAACTAAAGAAAAACCAAACTCAAATGGCTGAATGTCTTAGACATTTTTGTTGCTATAGCAAAATACCTAAAACCAGGTACTTTATAAAGAATAGAAATTGGGTTAGCTCAGAGCCCTGGAAGCTGAGAAGTACAAGGAAGTCCAAGAGCACAGTGCCAACATCTGCTTAGCATCTGGTGAAGAATCCTTTGCTGCACTACAATATGGCAGAGGGCATCATATCACAAGGAAAGCAACCCTGCTGCTAACCTGGGTCTCTTCCCTCTTCTTAGAAAGTCACTAATGCCACCTTCATGACTTCATCCAATCCCATCGTCTCCCAAAAGCACATAAACATACAAATTTGGGGATTAAGTTTCCAGCACATGAGCTCTTTGGGGACACACCCAAGCCATGGCATTAGCATTGCACATTTAGGTGACAAAGTCATAAGGAAAAATGATTATTCTAAGTGTCAGATACTGGTTCCCTTTGTGAGGAGGAAGAGGCTTGATTTCAGGACAGAGCACATGGAGGGGCAGTTGGAGAGCTGGCGAAGTTCTCTGTCTTGCACCAGGTGGTGTTCACTCAATAATGCTTCTAGGATAAGTGTTTACTTTGTGTGGTTTCTTTTTCTTCATCTGGATCCTAGTTTGCAATTTAAACGTTAGAAAAAGCAAATGTCTGGGGGCAGAGTAGCACTTAGATGCTGATTCCTGTTGGCTGAACAGATGATTGACAGACCGATCAAAGGACTGAAATAAAATATCTGTTTCCTAAGAGCAGGGTCTCACCTATCTTTGTGCACTCCTGCACCTCCAACATGAGCAGAGAACAGCACACAGTAGGTGCTCAGCAAAGAAGAGCTGAAGTTATGTAGCGCAGGTGAGCAGCTTGCTTATTATCACAGCATCTCCTATTTGGAGTCTCCATACTTTCTGTCCTCCACATCTTAAGGCCACGGATGACACAAGCTGTCTTCTGTCTTTCCAAATCCATCCCCTACGCACTTTTCCGGGGCTGCTCCATGATTTACCCCATGCACCGGGAGCTTTCTCCCCTCCATGCTTGGCTGGCAGTCTTCCTGCATAAAACCCACACTAAGAGCTGCTCATCCAAGGTCTAGTATGATCTGACCTCTCCTGCCCTCTACAACTTCATCATCAAACACTGCCCTCTTGAAGTCAACCCAAACTGTTTGCAGGTCCTCAAATGCACCACGCTCTCTCCCACGAGGTCCCCTGATATTGCAGTTCCTGCCCCTGCCTGGAATGCCCTGCCCACTCCTTTCTCAGCCAGTGAGTCCCTTTGAGCTTTAACTCCTCTAGCGGCCTTCCCTGTGGTCCCCCTCCACACCCCAAGCTGAGGCCCTCCCCCATGTTCCCAGGCATCTGCCGTAACACTTCAGAGTAGCAGTCTACCTCCAGGGCTGACTCCCACTGCAGACTGTGAGGAACTTGAAGTCAAACTGAGTCATTTGTCTCTGCGTTTCTGGTGCCCGGCAGAGTACTCTTAAATCACCATTCCCCAAGCTCCATAAGTGCCTTTCTCTAATTTCTTTCTTTGAGATTACCGTGAGATCTCGTAGGGTAATGTTCTCACTTGCTCAGCAAATTTAAGAAACCCAGCTCGATATGCACGACACATTCCCCCAGGGGATGTACGTCTGGAACTTCATCAAAACCTTGGACAGTGCCTAACACATAGTGGGTACTCATAAAAATATGTGTAGGAAAGAGAGGAGGGAGGGAAGGAAGGAAGGAAGGGAGGAAAGGAGGAAGGGAAGAAGGGAGGAAAAAAGGGGAGGGAAGGAGGACAAGTACTGTGAATCAATAATGAATGGGCAGACAAAATATCTGGTCTTTTAGTAGTATTAACATTTTTTTCAAAGGGCACAGGATAAAGTAGTTTGGATTGGGTTACCTTACCTTGGAGACAGCCAATGTATCCCAGCTCAATCTATTTTTTCAGAAGCAGAAAAATTAAATTTCCTTATCCTGAAAAAAGTGCAAATATATTTTAAAGTGCTACTCTTCCATTTATCCACCCAAACACACACACACACACACACACACACACACACACACACTTCTCCCCTTGGTAGTGTATATTCTTTGACTTTTAAAAAATAGGCATTCCTTTCTGCTTGAAAGACTGTATTAGCCGTTCAGGGAATACTAGCCCTTTCCTTGGACTCAAAAAAATATTTTATCCATTAAAATCTAACCAGGGTGTAGTAACCATAAAATGCAGCCACTCCGTTAGGAAGACGGATATCCTCAAAGATTTATGTCTGGCCGTCTCAAAGCAAATGTGTAAGATGGAGTTTTCTCAGAGACTCCTTGGCTGGGCTCCACTCCGCACATAATTGCTGTTTGTATAAACCTCAGATCAAAATTCAGGAAGGGTTAAGGGAAACCTTTCTGAACCACAGGTTATGTCTGCTCACCCGCCTTGGTTGACCATTTGGAATGAGTTAACAGGTCCTTAACCAGCCCGTAACTGGTTCTTGGATGGGATTAACCAATCTCTCTAGTGCAAACAATCAAACCATTAGGGTCTCGGATTCCATCTAGATTCGGGGTGAGGGTTAAGATCATAAATGACAATTAAAGTCATTTACATGTCCCCATCATTGTGGCTAGAGATAATGAAAACACACCACATTATGACTCTCCAGGATATAGTGGAGACCATTGGAAACATCAGAATTCGGGAAGGGGTGGAGAAGGAGGTGTGACTATTTTGAATGAACCTGAAAGAAAATACTTCCCGAACCCTCCTTCAGAAGGCAATTTCAGTTCCAATTTTTCATAAGGTTGGAAAAAGTTAAGCAAATGAGAACTATAGACACTTGTTTATAGAAGGTTTTTCTCTTTAATTACTGTTTTTGTTTCATGAAAGAAAAGTCTCATGAAATAAAAGCACATTTGGGGTTCAGTGAGGCAGTGAGACTTCTGAGAATGCCATGAAAAGGTTGGCTTGGCTATGCCCAGCTAAGGGGTCCCAACAACTTGAAGGTCTATATATTTCCATAGCAAAGTATGCACTTTTCCCACCCTCCACCCTACAGGTCTCTCCATACGTTTGAGACAGCTTTAAAAATTTGAACTGCGGGACTGGCTGGTCGCTGGCAGGCATTCCAGACAAGTGGTTTTCTAAGAAGCCAAGTTCTGGTTTGACTCTTTGATTGGAAAAGTATCTATTTCACTAAGGGTGATAGGCCCCTGGATGCATTCTCACCAAAAAACCCATAAACCAATACTTGAAATGCCAGCAGCGAGTAGGGAATTCTTTTGGTTTGCCTTCAAGGACACAAAACATTGCAAAGGTCTTCTCTTTGGCAGTGAGGGCCCTGGCGTGGGGAGTTGGCCCAGGGTTTGTACGGAAAGAGTCAGACGTGGGAATCAATAGGCCCGGGTTCGAATTCTGAATCTGTCACCAGCAAGCTAGTTGGGACCTTGTGTGGGGCCTCTTTTACTTCTTTCCTCATCTGCAAAATTGGGGCATTAGCCACACTGAAGTAGTGGCTCAGTGAAATGCTCTTTGTGTGATTCCTTTCACCATGCCTACGACACAGCAGGGAGCTAATAAGCATTTATTTCATATGTACCTTTCCCCATTATAGTAAAGCAGTGGAGCCACATGAGCGCTCTGAGGTCACTGAATCCCTCTCTCTGGTAACATTTTTGTTTGGTTGGCTTTTTGTTTGTTTTGTTTTGTTTTGTATTGTATTGTTTCTGAGACGGTCTTGCTAAGGTACCTCAGCTGGTCTTGAACTTGTGATCTTCTTGCCTTAACCTTCCCAGTAGCTGGAATTACAAGCATGAGCCACCATGCTAGCTTCTTCTAAGGTCATTGCCTCCTTTCTGAGGCTGCCAGGGCTATCTGCTTTTACTAATTTAATCAGTAAGTGATGACAGGCCTGGCCACCAGTGTCCACACAGCCCTAGACAGAAGGGATTCTAAGGATGTAGAAGGTATTTCTCCTATATAGGAGTTGGTGCCCTCCTGGGACAGACCAAAAACTGCATAGGCAATATCTACTAATACTCAAAAGTACTGTGATTAGGTAACTCAGTGGAGAGAGTAGGGACCACAAGCCAAATGACTTGAAGGCCAGACAGAGAATGTGGCATTGTTAAGTCACCAACAGGAACACCAGGACACCCTAAGGGAGGATGGGGTCACCCAGGACCTGGCAAGTGTGTCACGCAGGAACTGAGTCTATCAGACCAGATTGTTCATTCTTCAAGAAAAGCCAGGAAGTTGGATGTGTGTGGGAAAGCTCTTGCTTTTAAGTACTGACAACTTTTATTAAAATGTATACATCTCTGCAGTCCAGATGGGTAGGGAGAAATCCCTGTGGTCAGAAGACTAGACCAAGGAAGTGAGGCTCCTGCCAGACCTCAAACAGCAAGTGGAATTTAGATGTGCTTTAGTGAGTGTTACTGTGTGTGTGCTTCTTAAGGGATGGCACAGATTTATCGCAATGGACTTGGTATCTGATCCCTCAACCCCCAAATAGAAAGAAAAGTGGCACAGACCCGGAGCACAGCTTCAAAGATTCAGTGAGAACAAGCTTGTTCAGCTCAGGACAGTCAAGACCTCAGTCATATCAGCTACTGGTAGCCTCACTGTCTTAGGTGTTAGCCCTGCTGTGTGCAGGGAGACAAGGACCATGGCATACACCGCTCTGTCATACTCTACTCCAACCTGTCCCGCTGAGGGAGCCCAAGGTGGCCCCTGCCATGACACACTGACCCTACGACATGGAAAGTGACAGTGTCATCCTCATTTTACGGATGAAGAAACTGAGACAGCACAGAGAAGTGGGGAAGAAAAGAGTGGAACTCGGGTCTCCGTGTCCACGCAGCTCACCATCCAACCTGTCCTGGAGAGCCCAGGAGCTACCAGCAGTCCCATGCTCCTTGAAGCTTCTCATCAGTTCGTGTCCCTTAGGTCAATAGCGCACCGTCCTTACCCTGCCCTGCCCCACCCTGGAATTCCATCAGAGGCGCCTTTGAACTTGGTCACAAGGCCCATCCACAAAGTGCAGGATGCGTCTTGGCCACAGAAGAGAGTTTCATGGTGTTCCTTATAAAAGCACAACCTGACATGCAGCTATTGTGTCAATGATCCCTCTCTCTCTGGTTGCCAGAACCCCAAACAGCTTAAAACAAAAGGAAACTGGCGTAAGGTCCTCAGGAACCTGGTTTCGGGCCGTGTCTACATACTCACTGTGTTTTTATGAACTTGGCCTGAATCTTCTGACCCACCCGTCTGGAGCAGGTCCCCAGAGCACAGACCAAGGCCTCCTTGGGAGACCCCTGAATGCCCTCAGGACTCCCTGGGGAAGAAGACACTGCGGGAGGGAGCAGTCCGAGAGCGGAAGTAGGAACTGGAGCAGTGTTCTGAGCCCAGAAATGTCCCAGACACGGATGTTTTGATCTCATTTTGAAGCCATTTCAACCTCAGAAGGCAGGTTGCCAAGCCCAGACACTCAGCCTTGGCCACACTGTCCTGACAAATAGACACCGAACGCTCTCAGTGTGCTGGGAATGCCAAGTGCTAGAGGCACCGGTGCAGCGTTTGCCCACCCCATGAGCCCTTCTATCTTCTTTACTCAAATTCAAATGTGTATCATCACGGAGGGGCCGAAACACTGCAAGCACACAGAAACAGCGCTACCCTCACCGAGCACCTGAGCACGGAGCCCCCCTCGCCTGGGCTCTGCTGTGACACATCTCTCCTGCAACAGGCTTCTGGCCCCTCTGAGAGGAACTTCGCTGTTTAAAGGACCTTTTTGGTCCACTGTGTTCTTATACAACTTCAGTTTGTCTCAGTCGAAGACAGCAGTCCCGCCATGGCACTGCGAAGAGGAGCAGTTGGACTTCTCAGGCGACACTCCGTGGCCACACTCTTGCTCTAAGTGCTTCTCCAGAAAACCTGAATCTTCATGACGGCAAAAGGTGTCAAGAACTCAGACTCTGGAGTCTTAGGGGAGGCTCTGAATCTCCCCTACCTCAGTTTCTTGTCTGCGAAACAAGAGGAGCATGAGTTTTTCCTTCATTGAGCCGTCATGATTCCATGTGAGAAGGAACACACAGATGCTTGAAATTAAGTGTGCAATAAAGACAGATAGATATTATCATCACTATAGGCCAAAACTTTTATATGCACGATTTTTCTTTTCCTTACAACAGCCTGGAAGGCAGATACTTTTATGCCTGTCTGCCAGCTAAGACTGTAAGGTGCAGCATGCAGTCAGGGTCTCACAGAGAATGGGGGCAGGGTTAGACTGCCTGAGTAAACAATGATGCCATCACAGAAAGCCAAGAGCATGTGCAGACACCCCTTTCTCTCTCTATGCATCACGCTAGGCTTCTATTGGCCAGCACAGAGCTAAACCCATCGCTCTCTGTCCTACATCTGCAGAAGCCACCATCTGCCAAAGTCCCAGAACTTCCAGGAACATCGAAGTCACAGATTTCACATGAACACCTCAGGCAAAGCACCTTACATGACAAAGGAGTCATCTGCCTCTTTAAAAATCTGTTGCTCCTTAGCATCGTAGTGTTCCTGAAAGCAAGGGCCTCTGGACTGTCATGTCCCAGAATCTTACGCTTAGGTTAATTGTCCGTGAAGAGTCTTGGATTCAGGAGCAAGCAATCATAGGAATTCAAAAGCCCCACAGGGATTTCTCCCTCACCCTCCAACATGAGACCAGCCTTAACACACTCAGGTCATTGAGAGGAGCACTCCACACTGCAATCTTTTCCACTCCTGCTCCTGCAGGTGGCAGCTGAAGTCATGCGCAGAAGGACCCAGGTGTCTGAGGACTTCTCAGTGCCCTGTCGTTGATTCATCTGTCTGTAGACATTCTAGACTCCGTGTCTCCGAGACGGGCCACGACAGAGTGCATGACGGGGTGAGGCTGCCTGACTTTTCCCTCTAGCTCCCCCACCACACACACCCTTTTTTTCCCTTCTTGGCCTTGGGACCCAAAGTGTTCTGGACATATTTTTCATTTTTCCAAATATCAATTGCTCTTTTATTCCCTCTCCGAAGCAGTGAGTAATAAGAGTTGTGTCTGGTCCTGAAATTCCAACTGAAATAAATTAGCCCAACGACCAACAGAAGGTGCCTAGAACAATAATGGCAGAATATTTGGCATGTTACAAAAGAGCCCCTGGATGTTGAAGTACAGTAAGTCTAGAAGCACATTTCAGAGTGGTGTTGCCAGAACGGGGACGCAATGAACCATCCAGGCAGCAGAACGCCTCATAAATTAATCTCACTTTTTTTTTTCCTTTTTGGTCCACCGTTCACAGCTCTTTTAGCTTTCTGATTAATGGAGCATGAAGAAGGGTATTTTTGGTGTGGCCTGTGTCCCCAGCAGGCAGACAGATGCCAAGGCTGTGTGTAAATGTATACATCTGTCCCCTCAGCTGGTCTGGTATCCCTGGGCCACTGGCTGCATTAACAAGAGAGAAAATAGACTTGGGAGGCAACAAGTTGCAAATAAATATTGAGTACTTACTGAGTGTCAGGAATCATGCTAAGCTCACAGAGGACAAGAGGGAGATGGTCCCTGGCCTCCTGGTGACATCTCTAGCCTCTCAGAGCTAGTTCTGTGTCAGTGGAGTTGAGAGGAAGGGAAGTCATGTTTCACGGTCTGCTCAGCATCCCAAATCCCTGTTCCTGGAGTAACCCCTCATCACGTGATCCTTGTTGTGGTAAGCAATGCCACCTGCCTCCCACTGGAAGAAACCCACTTCTTCCTCTCCATTTCCTGATACTTGGTGTTATGGTTTGTGTCTGGATGTCCCCCCAAAGTCTGTGCAGTCATGGGGCAGACTTCTAGAGTTTATGATCCATCCATGGCCCAATGTTGGAATTATGGATGTCAGTGCTACACCTGCCCTAGAGCAGGTAGCTTGCACACAGTGTAAGGGAGGGAAAAAGGCTGCTTGCCACCACACCCCACTTTTGCTCTTGCTTTTTTGCTGTCTTCCCCTATCACGAACTGTTGCCCTCTGCCATGTGCCTCCCTGCCTCAGAGCCAGCCAAGTATGGACTGAAACCTCCACAAACTGTAAGCTAAATAAACCTTACCTTCCTTAATTTTAAGCATCAGGTGTCTTGTCTCAGCAATGAGAGAAAAGTAACCAAAACAGCTGGGAAGCAGGACTGGAACAAAATTTAGCCTAAGAGTCATTCCTGCCAAGAGCTCTAAATCTTCAGGGACTGTCCCCAAGTTATTGTAGTAAGCTGAAGAGTTCCCTAAAAGATATTCACATCCTAACCTTTGGGATCTGAGAATATTACCTGATATTGCAAAAGAAAACTTTATGGATGTCATTAAATCAAGAGTTTTGAGGTGAGGGGATTATCCTGGATTATCTAGTGAGTCCCAACACAATCCTGCATATATCTTTATAAGAGGACAACAGGGAGATTGCACTTACACAAAAGAGGAGATGCAATGTGACCACAGAGACAGAGGCTAGAGTGATGTTGCCAAAAGCCAAGGGATGCTGGCAGCCACCTGAACCTGGAAGAAGCACGTAAAGGATTCCCACCTTTAGAGGGAATGCAGCCAGGCTGATTCCATAATAGTTCATCCCAGTGACACTGACCTTGGATTTGTCTCCAGAACGGTAAGATTAATATCTGTTCATTTTAAGCCATCCAGTTTGTGGAAATGTGTTACAGACACCTTCATAGTTTAGAGTCCTTTCATTGCACAGTTGCCCCAAGTACACAGTTCTGAGTTCAGACTGTGCCTGTAGAATACTCCAATCACGGTTCCCTCCCTCAATCCTCAGCCTCCCCTTCAGTTCCAGAAGTTCCTTTTTGTCATCCCTCCAGAATTTGCCTTTTCTGACCTTAGGGAGCCAGAAGAGATCTGTGCCTTGCCATCCTAAGCAATAACCTCCACATGTAGGGCTCAGGTGAGAATTAAGGCCAAGGATGTCCGGGACCATTATGATGCCTATCACACAGCAAACACACAGTAAATCAGAGTTCACGGACTCCATCTGCATTTAGCTCACACAGTGTGTTTTTTTCTAAAGTTGAATTTGTTGCCAACACATATGAGTCAGGAGAGTTCACATAAAATATTGCATGAGCTCCACATGTTCTTGCCAACAATTAGCTGGCCATTCTAGACATGTGTGTTATAATCTTGCCTTGCTCTATACCATGCTCGCTTCCACTCAGTTTACTCCTTGTTTTATTAAATTTTCAAAACTTCAGTGCATCTGAGTGTGCCACCCTTGTTATAAATATGGATATGGAATACAGACTGCCCAAAGGCTGGGCACCTGATGCAGGCAAGGACTGTGTTCTGCTTTAAGGCTCTTCTAGTGAGGTCTTTGCCTATAGCCTCTTCTACAAATGGTGCTGGAGCAATTGTATATCCACAGGCCAAAAAAGAAAAAATTAACTTTACACAAAAATTAATTCCAAATATACCATGAACTAGAATGTAAGGCATAAAACTATAAAACTTTTTTAAGGAGATAAGCATTTGAGAACAATGACTAGGGAAGAGTTCTTAGACTTGACATGAAAAGGCTCAACTCATAAAATAATTAAAAACTATATCTGCAATAGACCATGTGAAGAGAATAAAAGGACAAGATTTCTAACATGTTTTGAGCATTTTCTTCTGAGGATGACTGGTAAACAAAGCACAGTGCATATATACAATGAAATACTACTCAGCAGTAAAAAAGATTAAGTTACTGATACATGATACAACCTGGATGAATACCCAGAGAATAAGACTAAGTCAGCTTTCCATATCCACAGGTTCAGTGTATCAAATGCAATCATAAATCAGAATTATTTGAAATAGTCTTTATCATAGTGAACATGTACTGACTTTTTCCTTGTCATTATTCCCCGCAAAATACAGTTCAACAACTAGTTCCATAGCATATCCATTGTTCTAGGTGTTATCAGTAATCTAGGGATAATTTAAAGTATACAGGAGAATGTCTGTGGGTAAAGTGCAAATACTGCACCATTTTACAGTAAGGATTTGAGCATTCTTCAACCTTGGTATCCTCAGGGGTCCTGGGACCAATCCTCTTGCAAATAACAAGGAACAGCCATATATGTTTTTAAAGCCCAGTCCTCAAACATTACATAGTGTTTGATTGCATTTCTATGACAATGTGAAATGACGCCACTTGGGAAATGGAGAGCGATGTTTGGTTTTTAGGAGTTAGGGATGGTGGACTGGGCTAGAGGAAATGCCAGGCATCAGAAGGCAGCACGAACATCTGTACTTCAGGACTTCTGTATCTTCACTGTTGCGATAGAAAAACTATAAGTGTGACAAAATTGTCTAAAGTTAAGTGCACACACAAGTGAGTACAAGTTAAACTGTAAGTCTGAGCCGGGTGTGGTGCACACCTGTAATCCCAGCACTCGGGAGGCTGAGGCAGGAGGATCATTGCAAGTTCGAGGCCAGCTTGGGCTACAAAGTGAGCTCAAGACCAGCCTGCACTGCATAGCAAGATTCTGTCTCAAAAAGACAAAACAAAAAAAAACTGTAAGTCTGAATAAAATTGGTAAATTTTATCAATATCCTGGTTTTCATATCAGCCTACAGTGATGAAAGAAATTGTTAAGAAAAACTGAATGATACATGAATTACTCTGTACTGTTTATTATAACTGTATGTGAATCTACAAAGACCTCCAGAAATTTTTTCATTAAAAGTCACATTTTTGCTTTTTATTTTTACCTCACATTGTAATAAAAACTTGCAAATACAGATAGAAAGAGATCAAAAAAGCCACCATCCTAAAATATAATCTTTTGGCAATTACTGTTTTCTACAGAAACCTGAAAAAACTGTGAGGGAAGGGGCCAAAACTCAGGATAATGGGTAGTTGAGGCCTTGCTGTCCCCTGCCTTCTGTGACATCAGAATTCATGCTGGAAGGATGCCTGCTGACCAGAGGTGAGGAGGGCCATCTTCCTGTCCACTGGGGACACCTTGCGGCACCCAGGCAGCCTGCCTGAGGACATGGAATTCCAGCAGACGGACGGCAGGGCGAGGGTGGCAGCTCAACTGTTTGAAGAGAGAAGGGGAAGCCGCTGTGAGGACAAGAAGCAGGTAAGGCCAGGCCTGCTGAGACTGTTTTTCTGCTAGGTTCTCCTCACCACTCCATGAAGACCGTAAGACTATCAGGAATGGCCCAGGCCTTCCATTGACTTTCCCTCATCCCAGCCCGGGGAAGGACAGAACCGAGCTTGGGGGCTTCCTCCCCGCGCCATTATCAGCACTCTCTCGTTTAATTCTCGGCAATACCAGCAGAAGATCTGCACTTCCAGGAGGGCTGGGGCTTTCTGTTTAGTCTCCTGCTAAATTCCTAGTGCCCCAAATGGTACGCAGTACATAGCAGGTACTAAACGAATGAATGAATGGACACCCATAAATAGGATAATACACCTGAATTGGGCAGTTTCTGGGGGATTTGTTTCTAGGGCGAAATTCAAACCTGTTTCGAGTTTGTCAAAATGGAAAACATTGCACTTGCTGAGTACAGCCCGGTGCCCACCGTCTCTGTCTTTTTTGACCTACAATGTTTCTGAGAGGCACATGCTCCTTCAACCCCATTAACAGCTAGGTAAACTGAGGCTCAAAAAGACCAAAAGGCTATGTAGCTGGGACAAATCAGGATTGGAAAGCAGGCCCATCTGACTCCAGAGCCCCAAGCAAGAAGCCCCATGGACTCCACTGCCTCTGGGTGAAGTGAGGAGGGGTGTGAAAGAAGCAGAAAGCTCAGCTGTGCCCTGTACTATAGGCAGGGTAGGACTCTGAGGGTAATAAGAATCCACTAAAAGTTTTAATCAGAGCAATGAGCAGTCTATATATATTTTCAGATTTGTTCACTCTTTCATTTACTGTACATGTGCCATATGCCTCTTCTATGCTACACTGTAAGGTAGATCATATATCGTACATGACAGGGGACTTCATGGGCTCCCATCACACTGCTTTCTCTTCTTGGAAAGTGTTCCCTGAGTACCACACCCCAGAAATGTTACTTTTCCAAAAATTGTAAGAAATTTATAAGAAATTTCACACTCCAACCCCCCCAAAAATGTACAGCTATACATTGTATAAATGGATTCAATAAGAAATAGAAAGTGTTAATAACTGTAAGTCCCAAAGTTTTCACCAATAAATTCTATCATTCACTTGAAGCAAAAATTAATACCAATCTTACGCAAATTCTTTTTTTTTTTTTTTTTTGTCTCTTTTTTTTGAGACAGGGTTTCACTTTGCAGTTCAGGCTGGCCTTAAGCTCATTTTGTAGCCTAGGCTGGTCTCGAACTTGCAGTGATCCTCCTGCCTCAGCCTCCCGAGTGCTGTTACGCAAATTCTTACACAAACATAGAGGATGAGGAAATTCTTATCAATTCATTTTAAGGGACAACATATCATTGACTACAAAAATTCATACATACAAAATTTCTCCTTCTTTCCCTTCTCTTTTCCCACATCCCAGTTGCTCTTTACCCTTGAGTGTTTTCCTATCATTTCACAATGTCTATCACACCTCCAAGTTTAAATTAACTCTTCTGTTTTCCTGAGAAACCACTTTGAAGATATCAATATGTCATACAACAAGCATTGTTAATTTCCTACCACTTTGTTTGTAACTCTGTATTGTCTGTACTGTTCTTTTGCTATTCTGTAAAAGGTTGTCTGTCTGTTAATGTTTTCCTTCTTTTATTTTTAAAATAAAATTTAAAAAAATTCATCAAACTTATAGGGAAAAAATCCAATCTCTAAATGCAGATGCAAAAAAATCTTAACATAATAATAGTAAATTCAATCCAACAATACAGTCTACCTCCCCTATTTGCAGGATCAATAACTGAGGATTTAACTAGTAGGTCAAACAGTTCCCCTCAAAATCCCCCCCACTTCTCACTCCTGCTGAGCTTCCTGCATTGTTGATTTGGGGTCTCTCTGCAGTGCAGAAGTTCTTATAAATGAATTCAACTTCTCTCTGTCGGGTGAAACTAATTACACCATTTGAGGAACACTGAGCTAGAGCATTAATTAACAGCTGTTTAAAGTACAAAGCAGTAAATATTACATGCATGAAACTATAGTTTATAATATTTTCCATGTTGATCTTTCCTTTCATTTTTCTCTTCTATTCTTTAAGAGTAGCAAATATACTTAACCCTACTTAAATTTAGAGGTTTTATCACCTCTGCAATTCTTTTACTAATCTGTCAAAATCTGAATTATTGGCAAATTAAATGTCCTTATCCCTTTACTATGTCATAAATTGCTGACATATACTTTTCAGTTAGGGCTAGAGTGGTTGCAGTTAGGCCTAGAGTGGTTGCATATGTACTAAACATATACAGACTTTTTCTTGTCTAGTACAATATAACAACTATTACACAGTATTTACATTGTATTAGGTATCATAAGCAATCTAGAGATACTCAAAGTATACAGGAGGAAGTGTGTAGGTTAAATCTAAATGCTATAGCATTTTATACAAAGGACTTGGGCATCTGTGGACTTTGGTGTCCAAGGGGCATGTTGGAACCAATCCTCTGTTGATACTGAGGGACAATTGTATATGAAAATATGCACACACTGAAAAAATAGAGTTTACTGATGGAATGCAAGGTTGGTTCAGTATTCAAAAATCAACTAAGACAATTTATCAAAATAAGGGGCCACTAACAATATCGTGGTAGGTACAGAAAAAGCATTTCTCTAATTCAGCATTCATTCATGTTAAACTTCTCCGAGAACTAGGAATAAAAGGAAAACTTTTTTTACCTTATTAAAGAAGACAATGCAACATCTATAACTAATGCCACAAATAATGATGAAATTTAACTATTTTCCTCTTTAACTTATTCTTTCAAACTGAACAAGATGAAGATGTTCAATTTTACTATTTCTTTATATTTTATTGGTGGTTCAAATCAATGTATAAATCAAGTGGGCAAACACTAAAGGCCTTTTTAAAGGAAAACTGGAAAGAAACAAGAAATTTCTTCATAAACAACTAAATTTTCTACATACAAAATCCTAAATTCTAAAAAACTACTATTTGAATAAATCCTTATATGCTTAATGTTCCATTTTGGAGCAGCATATAACAATGGGAAATAATAAAAAATTTTCTCTTCAAATTCTTGTTCCTTGAATTTTTCTAGGTAACATATATGAATTTCATGTAAAAATTTTAAAAATTGCAACCTTTGGCACAACTGGGTTAAATCACAAGATACAAACTCAATTCGATTTCTATAGACTAAAAACAATTGGGAAGTGAAATTGAAAATTTCCACTTATAATAACATCAAAAATGTACACTACTTTGGAAAGATGTGTAAGCCTTCTACACTTAAAAAAACAAAGCATTGTTAAGAAAAATTGAAGAATATGTAATGGAGAGACATACCATGTTCATGATCACAAGAGACAATATTTTGTGCTTACTAAATTTATCTATGTAGTTAATGTAGTACTATCAAAATCACAGCAGTTTTCTTCTAATAGAAAGTGAAACAGAAGACTGAAATACTTACACATATATGAAAATGCAAAGAATGTAGAACAACCTAAACAAATTTGAAAAATAGCAAAGTTGAAAAAATTACAGTATTTGATCTCAAACTTTACAATGAAGCAACAGTAATTTATATACTGTGTATTATATAAAATAGATATACAAATCAATGGAACAGAATAGTGATCATGTAATCATTATGGACAGAACTGTGCCCCAGACTTTATATGCTGAAGCCCTAGCCCCAAAGTGACTATATTTATGAATAAGGTCACTAAGAAGGTTAAGAAAGGTTGTGGCCCTAACCCCATAGTAATGGTATGCTCTTAAGAAGAGACAGCAGAGATGTGCAAACCAGAGGAAAACTCAGTGTGGTGACACAGCAAGAAGACAACCACCTGCAAGCCAAGCAAACAGACCTCACCAACTCTGCCAGCATCTTGATCTCAACTTCCAGCCTCCAGAACTGGGAGAAAGTACATTTCTATTCTTCAAAGCATCCAGTTTGTGGTCAATGCTAGCATATACAGATTAATACAGATTCAGTATTGATACAAGCATATATGGTGTGATCAAAAACTACAGTGAATGATTAATTTTTTAAAATTTATTATAGTAAGACACTATCATTAATCTTCCTCAGAATACTTCTCCTCACTTATTACATCATTCTTGCCACTTTCTAAAGTGGTTCTGGAAGTCCTCTTTCATGAGTGTCTTTAGTTGCACTGTCGTGGCTGCCTCAATATCCTGAATTGATTCAAAACTTTACCTTTCAAGACCATTTTGATTTAGAAAGACCCAGAAGTCACACAGTGACCAGTCTGGTGAATTAGGTATGTAAAGACTTTCAGAATTGCTTCAGAAAGTGGCAAAAACAATGGAATAATTGTGTTCAAAGCAAGGAGTGTATTTTGAAGGAAATTCATGGCAATGTGCTTGATTGTAATAATCTTTAAATTTAAGCATGCACTATAGTTTCTTATCATACCACATAGATACTACGTAAGTCAATGAAACATAATAAAATCCAGAAATAAACCAAAAACATAAAGGACATATTTTTACTGAGACATCAATGTAATTCAGTGAGGAAAAATTAGTATTTTTAAAGAAATAATACTAAAACAACTAGATATTTACATGAAAAAAATATCTCAAACCCTATTTCACATTACATACAAAAATTAAATGGATTGTACACCTCAGCATAAAATCTAAACCAAAAAATGTCTCAAAGAAAACAGGAGAAAATCATGACTTTGACATAAAATTTTTAGACTTCACACAAAAAACAAAACAACAAAAGGAAAAATTTCATTAATTGAACTTCATCAAAATGAAACCTTTTGATTTTTAAGACACTGGCAAGAAAATGTAAAGACAAGCCACAGACATGGAGAAAATATTCACCATACAAATATCTATAAAATAATTTATATACTAAATGTATAAAAACCTTGATCTAGATAAGAAGACAGATGACAATAAAAATTGGTAAAAGACTTCAATAGAATCATAACAAAAAAGTTATATACATTATGAATCATCAATTGGTTCATGGCAAAATGTTCAACATCATTAATCACTAGGCAAATGAATATATAAATAGACTGAGATGTCTTTACACAAGCAATGGAATGCCTAAAATTAAAATTGACAATACTAAGTGTTGACAAAGATGTGAAGCACCTAGAACCTCACAAACTGCTAGCACAAATATAAATATACCTTGAAAAGAGTTTGGCAGATTCCTATAAAAGTAAGCATTAACCCACACACAATGAGAACATATGTCCACACAAAGATTTGCACATGTATGTTGATAGCATTTTTATGCATGATAGCACAAAAGCAGAAACAACGCAACAGGGCATCAACAGGTGGAGAGATCTTACTATATTCGCACAGTATAAATACTCATCCAGAAAAACTGAATACATGAAAACATGAAGTGATCTCAGAAACAGTATGTCAGGCAGAAGAAACTAAACACAAAAGCATATATACCATATGATTTCATTTATGAGAAGTTGTGGACCAGGTAACACAGCTCTAATGAGAGGAAGCACAGTAGTGGTTCCTCAAGCAGGATGGGGTAAGAAGAGAATGGAGTGCAAAGGCCCCAAGGAAGCTTTCTAAAGGGATGAAAATGTTCCATATCTTCATTGGGGTCGACTCCACAGGTATAGACATTTGTCAAAATTCATCAAACTGCATATTTTAAATTTGTGCTTATAATTGTGTAGAAATTATGCTGCAATAAAATTGATTCATTTTAAAGATTGATTTAAGTGAGAAATTTAAAAGTTATTCAAGGAAGAAGAACAGAGGTGGTCCTCTTCTCTCAGAAGAATGGAAGGAAAACAAATGTCAGTAAGTAGCCTTGTCATGTATTTCTGCAATGTTTGGGTTTTTTTTTTTTTTTTAGTAAGCATATGGAACTTAGATGACTAGAAACAAAGCTGAGCTCTAAAGCTGTCTTGTAGCTGCCCCATGCCTTGCCCTGTTGGGGAAGCAGGGGAGACAAAAGACCTCTGGAACTCACCCTTCTGTTTCCTTCCCTGCTTCTTTTCTCACCCCCAGACGCTATTCACATTGCTGGTCTTGGTGCTGTACTTGGGCACGGGGATATCAGGTAAGCAGTCAGAATCTGAGAAGGGATGAGCCAAGTGCACATGGTCAGGTAGGGATTCTGGAGATGGACATCTGCCAAGGGGCCCCCACAACATACCTTCTCCTATCCCCTCCTCCCAATGAGAAGACCAATGGGGTTTATTTCAAGTCCACTCACTAGCCCTTCTTAAGAGGTAGTGTTTGTGCCTCTTGCAGGAAGAAGCTGGGAGTTGTACGAAAGAACCAGGGAATGTAACTACTCCCAGAATCCTGTGGCTTCCCAGGTAACACATTTAGGAATGTAGTGAGGGCATACAGAGGTGTGGGAACCAGGAAGGCTTCCCAGGTAAACATCATTGGCAGGCTGGGTCGGGAAAGATTAAAAAGAGATGGCCAGGTGGAGGAGGTTGGGGTATGTCCTCCAAGAGGAATGAATAACATGTGAAAATGCCCAGGGAGCTTTCTGAAACCAGACAGCCAAGTAGAGAATGTCAAGATAGATCTTTGGTGTCTGCTTTTCAGGGGTTTGAGTATCACACTAGAGAACCCTCTGAAGAGCCAATAAAGCTCCTCAGGAACTGGCTGAAGAAGAGCTTGCATGTTTTCTTGGAGAAGTTAGAGGAAGAAGTGCAGGAGCTGGAGCAGCTAGTCCAAGACTTGGAGTTGTGGCTAGATGCTCTTCTGGGAGAGTCGTACCTGGAAGAACTCTGCTCCAGCCACAAAAATCCCTTGTGAGGACCAGTCACTGGGATCTGAGGAGCAGATGGGAAAAGCATGCTGAGCTCTGATATTTGAAGTTCAGTGCAAGCAAGAAAATAAAGTTTTTGGGAAATGGAGTCCACTGTTCATGAATGCTGGTAGGAACACCCTCAGGAGGACACAGGAAATACCCTCACTGACACCATGACTGGCCCCCTGGAACCATGACTGGCCCCCTGGAACCAACACGGGCCTCATAAGCAGCCATCACACCAGACTCCTGCTCCACTGCCTTGAGACATTGTGCAAATTTCCTTAACCCCTCTGAGACTCAGCCTTCTCAATCAGAAAAGTCAAGAAACATATTTTGCCTCAGACAGTGGTAGAGTATATCTGTAGTATAAAAAGAGAGGTTGGCAGATATAGTGGTACCTCGGTTCATGAACTTAATTTGTTCCATGATTTAGGAAAAGATGACCATGTGTTTGTGTTTGTGTTTGTGTTTGTGTTTGTTTGTGTTTGTGTGAGAAAGATGGCCATGGTTGAGTTGTCACCAGATGCAGACTTTGCAAACAAAAACAAAATTTTGTCAAATGCTTCTGTTTCTAAACCAAATTGTTTACAAACAAAAGTGTTTGTGAACCTTGGTCCCACTGTAGTAGGTCCCCAGTGCACCCTTCCTCATTTCTCATGCTGTTTTCCCTTCCTCCTTCGATGGAGCATGAGGATACTGGTTCTGAGTCTATACAGGTTATGTGGCACTCAACCCTATAGCATAAATTGCTAGAACCCTGATGCAGAGAAACTGGGACAGTAGCTATCAAATCTACAAATTCGTGTCCTCTTTGGCCCAGGAATCTGCTTTATGGAATCTATCCCACAGCTATATATCCACATGTGTTTCACCCTAGCTTTGTTTACAACACCACGTATGAACGGAGATAATGCAAATGATATCAGCAGGGCTCTGGTTAAATAAAGTAAGACATAGCCAAAGAATGACCTACCATATAGCTGTAAAGAAGGATGAGGAAGGTTTCTGCTATAGTCTGAATATTGGTGTTCCCCTAAAACTCATATGTTGGACCCTAACAGCCAGTGTTATTATAATAAGATTCAGGACTGGACATACAGGGGTGATTAGGTTGTGAGGGCTCCACCCTCAAGAATTGGGCTAGCTTCCTTACAAAAGAGGCTTTAGGGAGGCTAGTTGCTCTTCTGTGATAAGAGGACACAGATAGAAGGCATCATCTGCAAGGAAAAGAGCCTCTTCAGACAGTGAGTCTGCTGATGCTGTGACCTTGGACTTCCTAGCCTCCAGAACTGTGAGCAAGACATTTCTGTTTATAAATTACCAGACTAAGCTGTTTTTGTTATAGCAGCCCAAAAGAACTAACATACTTCCTTTCTACTGATGCTAAAAAACCTGGAAGGTGTTATTAAATGAAGAAAATCCAGGTGAAAAAAGCAAATGGAAAATAAACACCTATATTTTATTGCTATTGATGATGATATTGTTGAATATGCATTAAAACTCTAGAAGAATACAAGAGTGAGAGTATTTTGCTTGTAGACAAGGACTAGAATACAGTACACGCAAGCAAAAACAAGATAGCTATGATGAAATTATGAATGACAGTGTTTTGAACAGTGCCAAAGAAAACATCTCCCTTCCACTAATTTATATGATGAAACAATTATCATTTTTTCCAAGAATTTCTCCTTACCCCTTCATATACAGGACATTTAAGAGTTTAGTTGTTCTACTTGAACAACTAAATTATTGGGATTATGACAACCTCACTGCTTTGGGTAATTTATGGTCCCCTTTCTATGATTTTTGTTTCCTACTTTAATGGAGTTATTATATATGTGCCTATGATTAGAACTACTGAACTCTTTGGAAAACCATGAGGGTTCAAATTAAACTAATCACACGGATATGTGTCTTACAGGGAATGGCATAGTAATTTGTTTTCCTGGAAGAATTAACCAACTGCCATTTGGAATAGAGAAGTCTCACAAATTATGATTAATTTTTCCACTTTGAATATTTGGCAAGGGATGGGAAACAGAATCTGTATTTTCTCATTTGCACCTATTTAGCAAGAGTTTTATGAGAAAGGATTGATACTTCCCTGCATTTATAGTTACGTATTACCATATAGGGTTGCAGTTTTACCAAATCAAAATCATGTATATGTGTTCTACAAGTACCTTAAAGGGTTCTCAGGTGTAATTGTGACTATGCACAATTTTACCCTAAAACATCTAAGTAGGAATTTTATTGTATCTGCTATATACATATGTATTTATATATGTTTATATTTTATATTATATATTTTTATATTTTACAGATTGAGCATTCCTAGTCCAAAAATCTGAAAAAAGAAATGCTTCAAAATATGAAATTTTTGAGCACCAACATGATGTCACAAATAGAAAATTCCATACCTGACCTTATGGGAGAAATTACAGTCAAAACTCAGGCACACTAAAAATATATAAAATTACCTTCAGGCTATATGTATTAGCTGTATATGAAATACAAGTGAATTTCACATGTAGACTTGGGTCCCATTCCCAAGACAACTTGTTTTGTATATACAAATATTCCAAAAATTAAAACAAATCCAAAATTTCATACACTTCTGGTGCCAAGCTTCTCAGAAAAGGGACACTTAACCTCCATATAAAATATACTTCATATGTGTGTATGTAAATTTATAGATACATTTTAATAAAAGGAAACAGGCTAGATCTTGAGGAATTAATCAACCACTGGAGACACAAAGCCTGTGAGCAGAGGCAATAGCTTCCTGGACATGGCTCCAGGTACCCACCAACACACACAGGACCAAAGGGTATTATGTTGGCTTGTGAGCCCGTAAAGAACAGAAAGTTACATAGTGTAACCAGGCAATGAGAGTTTATTGTGGTGCAACAAGAGAGCCACAGTCTTCTCCAAATCCAGGACCTTCCCATGCCCTGAGATCATGGAGCCTGGAACAGAAAGGTCTTCAAGAATTCAAAATGCAGTGGTATAAGCACCTGCCTGGCAAGCACAAAGTCCAGAGTTCGAATCCCAGTACCAAAAAAAAAAAAATAAAAATAAAGAATTCAAGATGGCTCCAGTGCACCAGTTGCAGGAGTTCCTGGAGTTTCCCTCTAGCATGTCACCTTCACCTTGACTTGACCACTCTCTAATGCCAACTTCCCTTATAGTTGACATATCCATTGGCTGGAGCTTCCTGTGCCACACTAGCCAGGTGACACACACACTAGCTTGCCTTTGGGCTGACCTTGGCCTAGCCAACCTTGGCCCAATGAGCTGCGGCAGTAGGGAGAGGGGAGGATCAAGTAGTTTGTCCTCCATATCATAGAACCCGTGGTCCATAGATCAAAAGTATTCAGGAAATAAATGGTGTCTGTACTGAATGTGTACAGACTTTTCCCCTTGTCGTTCTTCCCTAAACAATATAAGAGCTACGTACCCACTGTCTTGGTTACTTTTGCTGAGACAAAATACCTGATGCCCAGAATTAAAGAAGGAAAGGGCTGTTTAGCTTACAGTTTGTGGAAGTTTCAGTCTATAATCAGCTGGCTCTAAGGCAGAGTAGCACATGGCAGAGGACAACAGTTCATGGTGGTGAAAAGCAGCAAAAGCAACAAGAACAAAAAAGGGGAGGAAGGGCAGCAAGCAGCCTCTTTTCCCTTCTTATATTGTATGCGGCTATCCGCCCATGCCCACACCATCTCCGTGCCCTCCTCTTGCACAGGCTCACAAGGTAGAACTGCTGAGTCACTTAGCTACACCTCTAGACTCAAGTTGACACAATGTATCAACTGCAACACCCACATTTACACTGCACCTGTAGCAGCTATTATAAAGAGTCAGGAGATGATTTAAAGTATGGTAGGATGTGCACAGGTTATGTGCAAATACTGTGCCATTTTGTACAAGGAAGTTCAGCATTCTCAGGTTTGGGCATCTGTGTGGTTTCTGGCACCAATCCCCTGTAGATACTGAGGGATGGCTCTACAGTACTCTTGAAAAAGGTTAATTTAGACAAGAAATGACCTGGGGCCATTTCCCTTCCAAAGGCCCTTGAACTGTGCCTGACACTCCAACTCACATTACCCAAAGTGATCAGGAATGTAGCAGAGTACAGCAAGCCACATATGTGGACCCTAAGTACCAGGGTAGCAGATTTGCATGAGACAGATATTTAGAAGAAGTTCAGACAGAACCCAGGTAGATTCCAACCCGAGCCAGTGGAAAGGGAGACAGCTGAAAACAAGAGCTGGGAATGAGGTAGAAGGTGCTTTGCCCACCAGCATCACCAGAGAGAAGTAGGTCAGTGGCCTCAAGAACACAACTTAAGCCACAGCAATAATAGGAGAATATTTCAGTCACTGCCTTCTATTCCTGGGTGTGAAAAATACAAACTATACACTTAAAGCACAGCATATGACTATATCATAACTCCAAAATCAGAGGTTAAGTGAGGTTAGCACGTTACCCAGTGGATCTATCAAGGGGCTGACTTTCATACTGACCCTTTGGAAAGAGGAAATAGCTTTTACTTGAAAACATTACAATTCACATCTCCTCCCGTTCAATTAAGGCATATTTCTTAGGCCATGGTTGTGCCAGCCACTGGTGAACAAGAAGATGATAGGCTGATGGGGGAAATTCACAAAACCAACGTAGAAAAGACGAGGCAATTTCAGAGGGTATCAAACACAAAGACCACCCAGGGAGCCACTGCATTTTCCAGGTGGGAAACCAGGGCCAGGCAGTAGCTGTGTGGCTGAAGACACAGGCGGAGAATCAGGACAGAGTACGAAGGTACCATCAATGAGGTACATTAATACAGGAGTGTGAGGGAGATGGGTCTGGACAACTGTTTGCAGATTTCCCCTTTTCAGCAGGGAAGGGGCTAAACCATGATCTCAAGTCATGACGAGGTACCCACAGGCTCGGTCTTGTTAAGCAGAAAATGATCAGTGGGGGAAATATAACTACCCAACTACCCACATTTCTTTTCTTTGTTTCGGGCACCTGGAGCATGAGGTCAGCATCATAGATAATTAAACTTTTAATTAACTTTAATTGAAGATATTCTCCCCTAGC